CGTCGCGAGCGTAAGGATGGAAACTTTGGATATTGAAACTGGAACGAACGACAAGGGCAGTCCAACGGAACGGGCTGGCTCAGAACGAGACGAGGAGATTACTACGGGCTCTACGGAGAGGCCCAAACGAGAAAAGGTAGGTACGGTGGAGGCATCGGAACGCCACGACGTGGCCTAAGACTGGGAAAAAGGGGAGAACGGAACGTCCCTGACGGGTACAGGACGCCAGCAGAGGAGCAACGCAACACTTAGAGGCCGCGTCTAGAAGACGCCAGTGAGGCAAGCTATAGTATCAAACCATGCAAATTTACTGAGGCAGCTGTCAAGTGTTTCAACTGGCAAATAAGGCACGATAGTTTTGAGCTCGTAGTATAGTCCGACCAAGCAAAGATTTGAAATGCCCGCGCATATTATGGTGTGTAGCATTCCATTTGTGCACTCTCAATCCGTCTCGTCAACTTCAAGATACTCCCAATGGCGTACGTATTTTGGTATCGCAAACTATGATATCGATGTTGAGCTGCTGAGGGATCAATAATGACTAAAATTGTATTGCGGATATTGGGATTTTGCAATACCAGTTGAGACAACGTACTGTAATGCTCTGCGGAATTGCTGCCTCATCGCGTATTGCAGTTCTTACTTTCCATCGATCTTGGTTTTAATGATAACAAGTCGAAGTGTACTTATTCAGTAATGTTGTCAATATCGTAGTTCTTATTGATATTGTATACGTAAAATTTATGATTATTTATTTGCTGTAGACCAAGGAACAGCGCCCTACCGCAGAAAATCTATGTTAGTCGGGTGGGTGTGCCTGGCGTCGGTAAACCCTGCATCTCAAACAGGTTTTTTTTATTTGGAATGCTGCGCTGGAGGCAGCAACATTTAGTGTTTGCAAATTTGCCGATGCAATATTTATAGCAGACTAACAATATAGTTGCAATATTTATTGCCCTGTCTTTGATCTGCCGCAGTGCCCACCAATGTAGTTTTTGGCCATCATATTGATGGACTGTAAGGAAGACATGTTATAGGTTCGAGCATGGTACTGATCTCGGTCATGGACAGGAAGACGGTGGATATCAGGCTCGATTTCGACAAGGTTTGTGAAATGGGTCTGATTTTCCCGGTATTAGACTGTCATTTTGTATATCACCATTCACGCATGTACCGAAGTAGCTCGCTGGTGATACCATTTTTACCCGACATATTCATTGATCTGGCTCATATGAGAAAACTTTATTTTGATCCAACCTTCCGATAACTCTTTTTTACATCGAGTAGTGAGTATTAACACTAAGGGAAAACCAGAGTGAAATCTATCTAAGTGATTCGCTAATAACGTAAGCCCAGCTCAAATGGGCTATCGACCCAGATAATGCTGTTGTACGTCTAAAAGAGAGTTTCAGTAGCTTTTTTGTTTATAGAACGCATCCATTGGTTGGACTACTCGAGAAACACGTTCGAAGGAAGAGCTACTTGCTCCCAGCGGATCACGAATTGGGTCCATTGAATCGGTACGTCCGCTGCGTCTGCCTCATTTTCATAGACCGCCCACTGTTCATAAAGGACGCTAACTTAACCTCCGTCCAGTTCCGTTAGCGTGAGTACCATCCCACCCTCAGTGAGCCATTCCACCTCGTTTGTAGAGGGGGATGCAGCCCGGCTACGTTGATTGTCCTCCGAGTCCACGGTCACCATGCTCAAGCACATTTTCCGTTTACCGCCTTTCAATTCCCATTGCGTTTTTCGGGCAACGCACAAGTATCGCAGGTTTATAGGGCCTGGGATGTTGTCGACAATGAGATGCGTGGCTTGATCGAACACTTGGAGGACCTGCAACGTGACGTCGTAGCGCTGATTTAACCCCCAGTTCTTCGGCACTGCTAGTGTCGGTCGACAGGCTTTTGGTTGACTGCATGTAACTTTGTAAACGTCCTCGATAGAGCACCGGAACTTCTTCAACAGCTTTACACGCAACAGTGGAAGATTGTTGTCTCGAAAGAGTTTAGTCTGGTGCAGATTCCAGCCCATAAATGTGCCAACTGGGGACTCGGCCGGCCAATGTTTGGTCAATTTGGAATCGAACGGGTCGGACTTGTCAACAATGTCACGTGAGAACGGGTAGAAATAAAAGGGAGGTGAGTTGTCCGCGAAATGCACCACCATCCTCCATCTCTGTCCTCGGGGTTGTTGCCAGAATGCATGGCTCCGAGGTGACTTTGCTCCTGTCCCGTGTCATTCGAGTCACTGTGATCTTCATTGAAAACATGAAAGCTTGTGTTTGAAAGCCGTTTCTGAAACTCGAAGTGACGCGCAAGGGCTGCACGGAGCTCCGTATTCTGCGAGCTCAGTCGTTCGCGCTGTAATGCCAGGCGTAGAATCCCGACCATTAAGCCTTGTCCTTCTTCATCACGAACAAGTGTGTGCTTGGCGGCGGCAAGACCACGTCGTAGCGTTTCCTCTAACCGCTGGTGTTCCCGAATCATCGCCTCTTAACTTGCTTGGCGTCTCGAACGATATCGTGTCGTTCTCGCTCGATGCTTCTCACGACTAATTTCCAGCCTCACTTCAGCTGACCATTGCTTTGTGATGGCAACTGCCCACTGCTCAACATCGTTGGCAGAAGCCGCACCATTTTCTCTTCTTGAAACGCAACCATGGCTGGGATCAGCTCAGTTCTGACAAATAAGTGAGCGTGACAACGTGGGGTCTGTCAGAGTCGACGAAAATAATAAAGTGCCTGACCAAGCGAGCCGGAAAAATACCCCATCCTCGATCGGTGCGGCTCTTCCACAGGTCGACTCTTTTTTGTTTTACCAGCAAGCATGAGTGAAAACGATTTTTTTTTTTTACAAATTGCCCTATTAACTTACAGGGATGCTTACCAATGATAAGTTACCATCAGCAGCAGCTGCAATGCTGTAAAACATTATGTGGAGACAACTGGTGTTAATCTTAGTATTCAGCCATTATAAGCATTCGATCATTCACGATGATCTGTTGCTCCCTGTCGTGCTACAAACGTGATAAACCATATTATTATGGTGGCTTTTCAGTTTGGCGAACCCTAATCGTCAGGTGACTTTAAACAGATTGTGCAAAAGAATATATATTTACTTTTTGCTCCGTGTGACACCGTGCTGCATATCTACTGACAGTACTGTACCAGATGTCGTGGCATCAATTCGTTGCATTGGCCTATGTTTACGCCAACGAATCGAGATTGACGTTCAGATGTAGAAATTTATATATATATCCGGAAGCCTGTTCGCTCAGAAAGAAGACTATGGAGTGGATCGAAGCTACTGATTAAATTGAAATAATATAAAATATGATTAAATGATTTCATCTCCGTTTGTTGTTATCTATACCAAGCAGCATAATTAACACTCGGTAGCTTGTTGTTGTTGCTAGGTTCTTTTAACCCCCCCCCTCCTTGCTTTTCTCCTGGTAATGAAAAATATTCATACTATCGAGTGTATCAGATGTCCAACCCAAGCACGCATGAACGATTGGACTGACCCGCTAATGCTCTTAATGGATATCATCGCGCGTACAAGCTCCATCGTCCTGCATCGCCTGCGCCACCATATTCTTGACTACAACTACGAGAAGGAACAGCTTACGGAGTGGTCTACAGTGTACAATATAGAACTTCAGTTTGTGCATAGATGCTTTTTAGCACCATCATCCCAGCGGCCAGAGTCGTGATCATGGCCATCCAATCATATTAAAGCCGTAACCATCCCAGCGCTAGACCACTGATCTCATTAGGTGATCCCACCTGTTTCAGGATAGGAACCCGCACCTCCTTGTATCGTCGTTTCTTTGGTGTGTGACAGTCAACGATGCTCGGGTGATTTCGTTGGAAAAAAAACTGCAGGTGTAGGTAGAAAACGTTAGAGACCGCATCTTGTCCTGACATGGCAGTTTTCAATTGACGATATTCCTAGGGTCTGTCCATAACTCATCGCCCACTCAAAATGTGGTTGCCTCGCTTTCGTTGTAGCTTGACAATGGTAACAGACTTGTCAGGATTAACACCCCAACCATTTCAAAACTGTGGAGGCCTACGAGGCTCTGCTAACCGAAAAAAACATGAGCATTTGCACACAGAATCAGATCCGACACGGGTCGCGGATCGGACGTAGCCCCAGGAACTCCAGGACAAACGGAAGTTGCAACTTCATGCAAAGCGTATGATACACTTTCGCAGAAGAATCTTTGATTCGCGAACGAGGAGTCTTGCCAACATGAACAAGCGCTCGATAAGCGTTTGGCCAAGATAACAAGACTTCATCTCCAGTCCATTGTGCATTACTAAAGCATGTGTTGGCGCGTGGGGTCCAACGAGGTGAGAGAGTTTCGCTTTGACAACAATTTGCAGGGTTTCTGAAGTTCCAGTGAATTGTCCAGTGCACCAGCGACAGCTATGCGATACAGACCAGTGCCGGTGTCCCCGCAAGTGATCGGAACCCGTAAACTACATTTTTCTGTACGTTAGATCAACGCATAATGGAAACCAGTTGAAGAGCATTTGGCCGAGTTGTACGTTTTCCAGGTGGTCGGTCGTTGTCGTTCTCATTCATCGTGTCCTCCCACGAAGCGTTTGAAGCCAGTAACCAGTCGAGAGCAGTAAAAATACACAAGGAAGACTAAAGACGCTTAGAATCGTGAAGAAACTGGGAAGTGTTTCACGCGCCACTCACAAAAGACTTGAAGGTTTGTCGCCACTGGGTTGGACATGATATTTGAAGTGCATTCAGGCCAATATCGATACAGTACAGAGGCAGTGTACCGCAATGCACAATGTGTGCCCAATGTTTTCATCGTCCAGGAATTTCTTTTATTACAAAGATATCGCCGTGTAAACCCTATTGGAATATGCGGGTGGATCCCAAATGATTCCCCGTAGCTACTCAGGAAAGTCAAGTTTCGGTATGCGAAATTGGTACAATGGTCAAAGCTCGAACTAGTGGGTGGCTACTGGTAAGAGTGCTATTCAGTCCCCGTTCGTGATCGCCGACTCGAGGACGAACGCACGAAGTCCTAAGGTCGAGGAGGAATTTCAAGAAAATAGACGTTGGATAAAAGAAAGAGGCGTGTTCTTGCTCTCACAGAGGACAGCGTTTTTATTGCATAGTATTAATACTAGCGTGCAAGAAGATAACCTTGCTTAATATATTTGGGGTTGGTTGTTAAGTGTAGTGAATGGATATCTAAAGATCGTAGAACGAATCGCTGAAGTATTAAAGAACCAAATTTGGAAAAAGAAGATTTGAGCTTTCATTAATGGAGGCACGCAAACTTTTTCATGTCAAGTCGAGTCTTGGCCTTTGTTGTTTTGAAGAAGGCCTCAGTAATTATGACGAAATTGACCGGCCACCTCAGACGTCGCAAAACGAAACAAACAAACGAATGTGAATGAATTCGACTCGGACTTCAAGGTGTCATCCGCGTCCAGATACAGAGTTGAATAGATCATCTGCATGGAACGAGATCTGTGATCGATCGTTGGGGTGTTTACGATTGTAGCACGATTGGATGGCCATTATCACGGCTTTGGCATACAAGACCAGTAAGGTGCCATGGTATGGCTGGCGTCGTAATACAGGTTTCCATGGCAGATATTGTATGATTAACGTAGCTACGGTCTGGTATGGTTGCAAAACTGTCAAAGGTTTACCTACTTCGACGATTCAA